CTACAATTGGTAATCCCAATTCGAATACAATTGGTGACCCGTATTTTGGAACACGCCTCAACTTCTGATCAAATCTTCCAAAGAAGCCAATTCGGTGAGTCTATGATTTATCTATCCACGTCTGTCGTATATTTTCATATTTTTAATATATCATATACGCGACATGACGGATAACGATAAGAATAGTATTAATATAATAGACTCACACGTATGTGTACCGAATCCTTATCACTTTTTATTCGCGTGATGATGAATTCCACGCTTTATTCGAGAAATTTTCCCCTATGAACTATTCTCCTCGCTGACCCGGCTGCTTGGTACGGAATGCATACGCATAAGCATATCCGTCTACCACCCAGCACCAAATGGTTAAGTTGAACGGTTTCAATGCCAACTTAAAAGTGTTCTACGAGCACACGAAAACGGCAACTGGCACGAAACCTTACCGCTCGTCCTTTTAGGGGTGAGAACGAGTTTAAAGGCAGATATCCAATGTTCCGCCGCTGAACTTGTATACGGCACGACATTGCGTCTGCCCGGGGAATTCTTCACACCACGGAGCAGACCTAATTTCGCTAAATCAGACTACGTCCAACGACTGTTTGCATTTATGCGAACGCTGCCTCCGGTGTCAACTCGAATACAACATCGACAGGTCGCTCTCCCTCGAGAGTTATCTACCTGTTCACATGTTTTTGTACGAGTAGATTCGGTACGCAAACCTTTGCAACAACCTTACGAAGGCCCTTTTCGCGTGATCGCTCGTCACGAAAAGACCTTCAAAGTTGATCGACACGGCCGCGTCGAGATCGTCAGCATTGATCGTCTCAAACCAGCACACGTCGATGACAGTGCCCTATCTGACAACCTGAGATTCAATGCTAGACCTAGCAAACCTACTAGCGGGATCCTCAAATCATCTTCAGGTCCCACGCTAGATGCATCTGAGACCTCATTCTCACGTCCCGGTCAACAGCACGCGTCATCTGCACCTTCTACGGACGAGACGACAGTCTCACGTCCAGATCAGCAGACCACGCCGCCTCTGACCTCGGATGAGATTGCAGGTTCACGAAATACGAACGAGACTGCCATCTCACGTTCCGGTCGCCGAGTACGGTTACCCGTACGTTTTCGCGAATAGTCGCACAGTCAGCAACCGATACGGTGTAGGATTATTCCTATACTACACGTATGCTACACTCTTCTTCTTTTGATTTTCTTTTTGTTTCCTGATCCCACGCCTTCGACCATCTCCGTTTGGTTCCGTCGACTTCAGTCAACTTTGACGAAAGCTGGATTGGCCACCCACGCTCTTGTCAACGTTTTCAGTCGATATATTGGTTTCGAATGCTTGGCATACGCTTGGTCTCGAACTTGGTCGTTATGGTCGCTTCTGGTCTTTTGGCTCAACGTGGTTTCGTCCTTCGTCTGCAGCGTTTATGGTCCGGACCCGTACGAACGCCCTTTTCAGATTCTGGATACAAACCACTCTGGTAGCATGTCGACTCAAGCAACAAATACAACACATCGCTCCTGGTACCGTTCTCCGAAAACGACCTTCATTGGCAACTCGACGATCAACGATCGCTTTCCTGCTCGCCAATTCTTCCGTCCTACAATCGCTCGTCAGCCGATCAGTCCCACGATTCAAACCGCTATTTATCGAAAGTGTAAACCCTTTCTAGCGGGGGGCTCCTGTAGTGACTCACGTTTATCACGAGAACACGACTGGTTTAATAAAAACAATTATTATTATGACCAACTGTACCAGTGTTTGTTTTAACGTGCTTTTGTTTGACTGTGCTAATGACAGCTATTTTGTGCTTCCATTCTTTTACTTACACTTTGATTGTAACTTCGCGCGAATTCGGTTACCTTCTGTAACCAAGGTTGTATCCTGGCACGATCTCGGTATCCTTTCGATGCCACGAGATCGCCAGCAAATAAACATCGACTTGGTCCATTAATTGCCTTCTGGTATTTGGCTTCTCGGGGATTTTATGGAGTCATTTGGAGCGAGCTTCTTACGCCTTCCGATTTATCTGGCACGTGTTTCTTTGTAGCGGTGTTCATAGTTAACTTCAACTCCGACGCCACGCTACAATTGGTAATCCCAATTCGAATACAAAGCAACAACTCTAAGGCTTATAAAAATGATCACTAGAAATAAGGGACTCTAAACTCTTAGATCAAACATGCTTAAGGAGAAATATTGAAAAGTTAGTCTGCAATTCCACCCACATGAGGTTGATATATAGTTTACCTCAAAACTGGCATATTTTCAAGTTGTGCTTATGAACTTCTGTAAGCCTTTAAATATACGACATTAGACCAAGCGCAAACGCTCCAGCAACAATAAGAACTCAGACAAGCCGAAAAGAGACTTGGAGACTTAAGGGAACATATTCATCTCACCAAGTCCAAGCACATTATATACAATGGGAGAAGCATCTTTTTGTAAAAGACTACTAGATTTTAATAGCCTAAATACTGGTAATACTGGTTCTTAGTGCCTTTTTTGAAAAGGCAAGTCGATGGACAGGCAATATTGTTTAGAATTTTGAAGATAGACGGCAAATTTCCTGACTTTCAACCTGCCCAGTATGATTTTTGTGTTGAGTAATAATTACTTCACACACCACGATTCCGCATCTATAACGAAGTTATAATATATAGCGTCAAGCTTCGCTCACCAAGGTAGAATATTTACTGATGTCTTAGCCAGTCAGGTATATTTTGTCAAAATATTAATCAGCTGTTGACAGCTCCTTGAGCCCCACCTAAATTCTCAAATGCATGCAAACACAAGCTTTCCCTTACTCGTCCCTGTTATGGAATCTTGTTCATATTTTACTCAGAGAACTTACTCACTAGAAGGATTTTCACAGTATTCAACTGGCTATGATTGATGAACCGTTAGTCAAACAGTGCGATTTTAAGAAAGCGAATTAGAAATTCAAAAATCACATATTACGACACGATCAATCCCATAGACAGAACATTAAAAAGCATTCAAGAGTCGAGACTAACGGTAATAAAATGAATCACACATCATATATGAAACATATTGGATTATGAAGTATCCATAACATAGTACGATAACTTGCCAAGGTTTCTCCCTACGACCAGCGTTATAATTACTACTGTTTTTATTTGAACCCTTTATGAAGGATCGGTAAACAAGCCAGCGTTTTAAATCTAAAAGTCAGTTCATGCACAGTTTACTCAGATCACAAGGGACTAACATTATTCTATTTCCACTACACGAATGATTGTCAGAATGTATGGTTTCTTGGTAGTTATTGGGGATTTAGTAACCGTTAGTTGGGTAAAGCTACAATACTCAAGCGATTATGCATTAGTTATTATCAGTTTCAGTTTCAGTTTGGGAAGAACAGGAGGCTCGATGGCCTATGTTAGTCCTGGCAATGGTGGTCTCTCAGTTGATCCAACTTTCTATTGAAAGAGTCGACAGATGGAGCCTCAACCACGTGCTGAGGTAGTGAATTCCACTCGTTGATGATTCGATGGGAAAGTCGATAGTCAGCTGACAAGTAATTTGATTTCGGCTTATGAAATTTTTTGGAGTGTCCTCGTAAATTCTCTGTTTTGTAAGACAAGAAAAATGAGGACATATCAGGTGCAAATTTATCACTAAGCAATTTGAAAACTGTAATCAGGTCGCCTCTAGTTCTGCGATATGACAACGGGAAAAGGTTCAGCTTGGCCAGTCGAGATTCATACGGAAGTTTTGCTATTCCGGGAAACAGCTTAGTCGCCGTTCTCTCAACCTTTTCCAGAAGTTCAGTGTCTTTTTTTAAGCAGGGGCTAGCCGCTTGTATGCAGTACTCAAGTTTGGGACGTACGAACACTGTATACAAAGTCAAAAACGTTTTAGCGTCGACATGACTAAAAGCTCTACGTATTGACCATAATGTTCTAAAACCTTTGGCGGTTATTGCACGGCAGTGTGCAGTAGTCTTTAAGTCTTGACTAACGATGACTCCTAAGTCATTATATGTCTGGACGACAGGTAACTCAGTGTTATTCATCGTGTATGTATCTGTGCCTTGATGACCGATATGCATCACAACACATCGTATCGTTTTCCATATCTTGACATCGTCAGCATATAGCAAGACCGATGATGATAGGAGACAAGGAAGGTCATTTGCATACAAGAGGAATAGCACTGGCCCCAAAACTGTACCCTGGGGCACTGAACAAAGCACAGTTTCCCAGCTAGATAACTTTGAGTTCAACCGAACTCTTTGTTGACGCCCAACTAAGAAGTCTTTTATCCACATCAATAAATTGCCTCCAATCCCGACTTTTCTTAACTTATATAACAGCCGGTTGTGCGGAACCTTGTCAAAAGCTTTGCTGAAATCAATGAAGGCGACGTCTACAGGTAACTTTTGGTCCTTAAGAGCGCACCAGCTTTCACGAGCCACTAATAAGTTAGTGAGACAGGAATAACCTATTCTGAAGCCGTGCTGCTTCTCCAAGAGGATCCGGTTTTTATCGAGATACTTAAACAGGTCCTTCCTAATAATCTTTTCTAAGGTTATAACAACCACAGGTTTGTGTTTCGTACCTGTTTTGAAGACAGGACTTACTATGGCGTTTTTTCCAGTCTTTCGGTAAATGATCCTGCGTAACGGATAGGTTAAAGCATGTACTTAAAGGGTTCGCAACGAAGTTAGATAATTCCTTCAGTAGCCTAGGATGTAATTCATCGGGCCCCGTGGTGCATTGAAGTCTTCTAGGATTAAACATCGAGTCCGCTAGACTCCCTAGTCTGTACACCTTTAGCAAGGTGACCCCGGTCATATTTTGAGGCATGAGTTGATTAAGCAGCTGCCTAATCAGTACAATGTCATGCTCAAAACGAGCTTTAGGTTCAGAACATATCCAAGTTTCTGGAAAGAAAGAGCAGGAATGTGGTATGAAAACTGGTTCTGAGTTGTTTAGGGATTACATAGAATATCGAAAGCGTATTGTTTCTTGGACGACCTTCAAGTAACCTTTTACTGTCGCAAACATTTAAGCACGGTTTTGGTAAGTTATGTTTTTACTGCTACCGAATTCCAGATGCCAAGTCCTCATGACTTTTTTTCAGAGAAGATTGGTTTCTATATTCCTACTCTCCATAAAGACACCGTATGGAACACATCTGTGTTTCATCTCCTTGTCGATTTGACACTGAGTTAATTCATTATCTTAGTATTTAGTAGTGATTACAGGTAGTCTATCGACCTACATTAATCCTTGCAGTTTGTAACACAGTGGTAGTTAATGTCGTTTTGACTACATCAACAGAAGGTGCCAACTGACATTGCGCACTAGTTAAAAAGAACAGTAACATGTCACTGTCATATGATTCCTCGTTGAGTTAAATTTACTTTTTTGATCGTAAATTAAGCATCAAAACTATCGTTTACACTTTAGTTGAAATTACTTCAGTTAAAGTGATATTGTACTTGCATTTATTGACTTTGCTGTTATGTATTTATTGTATCAAAACATACCTGGTCGACTTCGACTTGATTTATTCGGTTAAGGTTTGAATCCCACTGCCTATAAAAGGTGCTCAAAGCCTAACTCCTATTGGCTCTGTGTGTTTTATTATTCGAGCAAAAGTTACTCACCCTAGAGGCAACTAGCATACTGGCGTTGGCTAAAAAAGATTGTTGAGGGCTGTACGGGCAATATGTGTACTGATAGCGAAGAATACATCAGTGTCGTAAGTGCTTTCGCGGAACATACCAGATACCCGACTGTGCAACACTCAGTAGGGATTTCTATTTCGAAACAACTAATGGGCGACAGACCACTAGATACTGGTGGCCAAGTTGCTACATCAGCGACTGATGCCCCAGACGAAACTGTTATAGTGTGGATGCTGCGACTGGTGGGAAATGAATGACCAAAAAGTGTCCACCATGAATAACTAAACAGGTTAAGAAACTTCTTAGACGTAGGAAAAACATTGGAGTATGTTTATATCTGTAGGCTTAGAACAGTATAGATCTGGTTACTGTAAGACTAGGTATGCTTGTAAAGCGTTGATAAGTAAGACTAGACAGTCACATGAAAAACATTTCGATAGGGATTGAAAACATAGTCCCAGAAGGTTATTGTCGTATATGAAGAGGAGAACTCACAGAACTGATAGAATCCCATCACTTGGTACAAGAAAATATGTTGATATTGGCAAGAGACGATGCCGAGAAAACGGAAGCTTTATCAGAATATCTTAATAAAATGTTTTCCACCGGCAATGAGGGATGACCATCAATTAATCGTGATCAAGGCGGCTTGTCGATGGGTCTTGTAGTTATTGGGAAAGGAACTGTCTTAAGATTACTTCAACATCTCAGGCCAGATAAGTTCGGTGGTCTTGACGAGATTCGTCTTAGGACTATGAAAGCCCCATCGGATGTAATTGCTGGAAGTATGACCATATTGTTTGGTATGTCCTTGCGGCAGTCCGGACTGCCAAGAGACTGAAAAAATGCAATTATCAGTCCGGTGTATAATGTGAGGAGCAGAAACTTAGTAACCGTCGATTCGTTAGTCTAACCAGTGTAGTCAAATCAATGGAAAAGATTATTCGGATGACCATTTCGAACTATTTAAAAGGGCACAATTTTTATCCAGGGAATATGGTTTTATGAAAGGCTTATCATGCTTGACAAATCTGCTCATGGCAAGAGAAGAGTGGGATACAGCTAAATATAGAAATATTCCTGTAGATGTGATTTTCATAGATCTAGGTAAAGCCTTTAACAAGGTTTCTCATCGGTATTTTAAATTAAAAGTGAAAAGTCTTGAGGTGCATTATGAAATAATGGAATGAAATAATAATAAAACTATTAAAGTGATTTTCTTAATGATAGAAGACTGTGAGTGGGGGTAAATGGGGCTTTCTCGGTATGGGAATCTGGAAAACGTGGGGTTTCTCAGGGTACAATCCTTGGCCCTTTCCTCGTTGTACTTTATGTGAGTAACTTATTAACTGTGGCAAAGTCACCCGTTTTACTGTCACCGATGACATGAGGGTTCGGAGGCCCACATACAGTATATCAGATAGAATAATATTACTGGATGACCTCAACTCACTGATTGCACGGATAAACAGGTGGCCATTAGAAATCAACTCTAACAAGAGTATGGTGGTGCAAATACATAACTCCGACGATTCATATCACTACATAGTATGTGGAGTTGTGTTACCTAAACTAATGGACTATAAAGATCAAGGAGTAGTGATAAACAGAGACCTCAAAACTACAAGTAACTGCAAGTTTACCACTGTCATGAGCTATTCGTAAGTCATTTCATTACTTGGACGAAGAAATGTTCAGGGTATTATACCCGACTTACGTGGGACCGTATTTTGAATATGGGATTCAATCAGCGATTTCTTGTTTCAAGTATGAGGTAGATATTATAGAACGAGTTCAACGACGGGAAATCAAAATGGTAGAAGGTCTCTCTGGTCTATCCTATGAAGACAGAATGAGACACCTACACCAATTTCCGTTCTTACTGCAGATTACGGGGTGATCTAATATTGACTTGTCGTATACTAAACGATGACCTTGGTATAACTATTTATTTGAATACATAAATATTGGTATAAGAGAGAGCCAATATATATGCGCCACACAAAGCGTGGTTTCAGAAAAACTGCTTCAGTACTCATATTCGGTGGTAACATACAATTTTAAACCGGACAGTGACTCGAGAACGTTTAGATAGAGTCGAATTTCCACCATAGACGAGCTGCTGTATAAGTCGAAAGAAATAAGTATAGACAGAGTAGGAATAAAAGAGGGTGAATAATGGTGTAGTAAATAATAATGATAATAACAATAAAAATTTGAATCATTTAATTGTTAGTTGAAGCAAGAAAAGTAGTTTCCATAATTATAGGCAGTTCATCATATTTGTGTGTGGGCTGTGATACTGCCCGGGTGCCTAAACCGATGCAGGTGTTTATCTTAACAGGCCACACCCCGAGCCTTTCCCGACCGTTGTTGCTACCTTAACGTGGTGGTCGGTCTTGCCTATCCTGATGAAGCAACCGAGCTATACTGGCTGGAACAACCGTCCCTCAACGTCCTACCATGTTAGACGGGTCGGTTGAAGAGCGGTAAGACTAAAAGCAACAAACCCGAGGTCCGAAGGCGAAGTCGTACTACTGACTGTACAGAGGTGTGACAGCAGTAAGGTGTTTCCTTCAGACAACCAGCATGACAGCGATGCTGCCTTCCTACAAGGAGGGGGGGTTAGAAAAGGTCGACCCTAAAAAGGCACACCTGCCTTATCCCACGGATATCCGTCTCCGGCGGTAAGGTCTCAACAAGTACGGAGCTAACAAGTAAATTACCCACGGAAAGGTCGTGTGTGACCGACTTCAAGCAGTTGTCCCTTGGGCTCTGCGGTCACGCTCCCAGGTCACTAAGACCACCTGTAATCCAAATTCATTTTCAGGTACCTCCTCCTTCCCGAGCCTTTGACCTAAAGGTCTAACCCACAAGGCAGTGGAGCATCGTATTTATTTATTTGAACACATAAATATTGGTACAAGAGAGCGCCAATATATATACGCCACACAAAACAATGAAAATTCGAAGAGAAGGAAAAAAGGTAAGGAGAGTAAAAAAAAGAGAACAACAACGAAGAGGTTGGTGTAAGGCAGTGTAGTAATAATAATAGTAATAATCAGGGAACGGAAAGGTACAATCAGAAGAAATCTTTCAGTTAGGGGAGACACAACCACTTTTTTATGAAGAAATTAAAAGAAGGTTACAGCAGGATCGCCACTGGCTTCTATTCTGAGCCATATCTGATAACGTCTCTAGCCACTGTGTAGCACCATCTCTCGGACCCCAACCAGGGAGTCGTGAAGGACCAACACAAGCCAGTCCTTTGCAACTTTCTTTCATGCCACGACACCATGTCATACACTGACCATCTCTCCGCTTTTTCCAACCAGTCCCAGAGTCGGCAAATAATGCACGACGTGGAATTCTCTGGGACGACATTCGTGGAACATGTCCAAGCCACCAAAGTCGGTGTTTCAAGATGGTGACACCAATTGAATTATCGTCTCTGTGCTCGAAAACACGATGCCGAACCTCTGCATTACTAACATGGTGTTGCCACTGGATGTCAGCAATCCCTCGGAGACAACGATGATCGAACACAGAGAGTCGACTAACATCCTGAACTCGGAGAGGCCAGGTTTCACAAGCATAGAGCAAAACTGCTCTCACCGACGCGTTGTAGATCCGACCTTTTACAGCCAGACTAACATCACGAAGGCGCCAAAAGTGGCCCAGATTGGCATAAGCCGCTCTGGCTTTCACTATACATGCATTGATCTCATCACTCACACCCCCACCAGCACTTATGCAGCTACCTAGATACACGAACTTCTCGACTACGTCTATCTGCTCACCATCCAGGGTGCGTACAGGATTAGAATCCTGCCAGTCTTGTAGAAGTACTTTGCACTTCGAAGGTGCAAAGCACATACCTCACCTACGGACACTGATTGCCAACTGATTAAGTGCGGATTGCATGGCTTGGGCATTACCGCACAGTAAGACAATATCGTCCGCATACTCAAGGTCGAGAAGTCTTTCTCCAGGCAACAGATCCACACCACCATTACTTACATTCATCAGAGCTGTTTCCAGAATGTCATCGATGGCGAAGTTGAAGAGGAATGGTGAGATTGGGCAACCCTGCCTAACCCCACAGCTCGAATGGAACAATGGAAAGACGTGGTTGTATGCCCACACTCTGCCTGAGGTGTTTGTATATAGGGCCTTTAAGATGTTAATAAACTTCTCAGGCACACCCTTCTTCAATAGACAATCCCAGAGAACAGTTCTGTCCAACGAATCAAAGGCAAACCTAATGTCAAGAAACACTACGATTGTTGGCCTTTGATAAGTATGGCGGTGTTCTAACATTTGGCGGAGGCTGAAGATATGATCAATACATCCTCGACCAGAACGAAACCCAGCCTGCTCCTCGCGAGTCAATCTTTCTCGGGTTTTGAACAGTCTACGAAGTATGACGGAAACCAATAGCTTGGACGCAATCGGAAGTAAACTTATCCCCCGATAGTTGTTACAGGAACGGCGTGAACCCTTTTTAAAGATAGGGACAACTATCGACTAATTCCATGACGTTGGTACACTCTCTAGCTCCCAAACCTTTGTAAACAACGTCGTCAATTCCCTAGTCAGAAAGTCATCACAATCTTTAAAAAGAGCCGGAGGTAAGTCATCTGGGCCAGGTGATTTGTAACGCTTCAAGAGTTGGAGTTCCTTGCGGACTTCCGCCTTATTTGGTGGATCAGTCGTCACCGGCCATGGAGGGCAGGACAGTCTGACCGATGTTGCCGGAGCAGCAGGCCAGTTGAACTGCCCTTCGAAGAATTCTGCCCATCGTCCAAGAAGTCGATGGATGTTAGTGATTGGCATCCCATCATCCTCGTGGATTGTTTCACACACCAGACCTCTTGCTGCCAGCGGCTTGGATGAGCGGGAAGAGCTTCCGGTAATTACCAGATGCAGCTGCTGCTTCCAGCTCATTAGCACGCACCGACCACCAGGCTTCTCGGTCCGTACGCAAGCATTGCCCTATTTCCTTACGTAACATCTTTGGTTTGTGGTCAAACTCACGGTCACCCGGAGTAGACCGATTGGCTTCAATGAGTTGTAAGGAACCCGAAGAAACCCAGTGCTTATAAGCGGAACGTTTCGCGAACCCACAACTGACTGTTCCCGCCATTTTTATGGCGTCATGCAATTGCAACCAATGCTCATCTATACTTTTCGGTGGAGTGGTAGCTAGCCTAGAGGCTAGCTCGGTTCGTTACTTACTTGCAACAGAAGTTGCAACCAGCTTGCTAACATCAATCTTTTGGTGGTGGTCACTTCGTTGGCCACTGAAAAGTAAGGCAAGATTGGCGCAGACCAAGGCATAGTCAGAGTCCAGATAGGTACTCCAAAAGGAGCGGCAGTCTTGTACACAACCACGCCAGCGGTAGCTGATCGCGATGTGATCAATCTGAGTCCAGGCTTGAGATGCAGAGGGAGGACGCCAGGTGGCACATCGGCGATGACTGTGCCGAAAGTTAATGCTAGCCAGAAACAGGTTGTGGTCTGTGCACAGTTGCAGTAGACGGTCCCCGTTATCTGTCCTGCGACCAACAAGTCCCCATCGGCCACCTAAACGACTCTCTTCTGTGCCTAGACGCCCGACCTAAGCATTCAGGTCTCCGGCTAGTACTACAATATCTGTCGAACGCACTTTCTGGAGAAGAACTGATAACTGGTGGTAAAACTCATCCTTGATTGCATCCGGACTGCAATCTGTCGGGGCATAGGCGGAGATGACGAAAAGACATCGTTTCTCACGCCGATTTCTTCTCACTTTGATGGAACTTTCTAATCTAACAGCACATAACCAACCGATTGTTAATGGGGATCCAATCGATTAGTGCTGCCTCAGCTCTAGCGCTTAGTGCGACAACAACGCCAGCAAGACCAGACCAAGATACCACAGGGTCCCCGGATAAGCGCACGTAAAACAAGCTTTTCGAAGCGACAGATGGGCGAATTTGTAGTAGTTCACCAGTCTTGAATACGGGTCTCGGATAGACAGCAGACATCGATATGAAAACTTTCCAAAGACATAGCCAGCGCTATCTGTTGTCCAACCTGCATAAGTGTGCGAACGTTGAAGGCAGCCAGTTTGAATAGCGCACGTGGTTTCAGAAAAACTGCTTCAGTACTCATATTTGGTGGTGACATACAATTTTCAGCCGGACAGTGACTCGAGAACGTTTAGATACAGTCGAATTTCCACCAAAGACGAGCCGCTGTATAAGTATAAAAGAAGGTGAATAATGTGGTAAATAATAATAATAATAATTTGAATCATTTCATTGTTAGTTGAAGCAAGAAAAGTAGTTTCCATAATTATAGGCAGTTCATCATATTTGTGTGTGGGCTGTGATACTGCCCGGGTGCCTAAACCGAAGCAGGTGTTTATCTTAAGAGGCCATACCCCGAGCCTTTGACCTAAAGGTCTAATCCACAAGGCAGTGGAGCATCTTAAGGAGATGCAGTCCCATGGTAGCAGGTGACCAACGATTGGTTCATACGCCATTTGTTCCCACAGGATACTGGAGCCCATGTGCACCATTGGTTTGGGATCCGGTTAAAGCGCCCGACATTCGCTTTTCATCCTCTCTTTTTCGTAAACAACACCCCCGCCACGAGAAGGCAGTGAGTAGGACTTCCCTGGCATAGGCTGTATACGCGTGGCCGTGTGAGAGTATTTCGAGAGGGAGGGCGAACCCACCCCCTCTCGGCCATACTAGGGCATTTGGGGGCATATATACTGAACGATGACCTTGGTATTAATGTATCTTATCTTTTCATTCCATCTAAGACTGATCATCTGAGAGGACATTCTAAGAAAGTTCCAAATCCGAGATCAATTCGTTTATGTCTTGAGTTCCGCTTCTCGACGCGAGTAGTGATCTACTAGAATTGTCTACCAGTATACATAATATCAGCACCTTCTGTTGATATAGTCAAAACGAGATTCAAATTGCAAGGATTGATCTAGGTTGGTTTACCTCTTGTCCTTATTTTTAGAGACTCACGTTGAATGCGATTTTAACATCATATGCTGTCGCACTATGACCGGTGTTCTCACGACAGAAAGTTTGGACTAAATGTATTATAATTTAATTAGCCCCATGTTAGGACGTATATCTGAGTCTTGATATTATCTGTCGAGTATACTAGGTTTTGGTTTATTACATTTAGTTTACTTACCTTTTAGATAACCTTTTACTGCTCGCAAAACTGTCTCCCTTTGCTCCAAGGGAGTAATAGGAAACAAAAACACCAAGTGATAGAAAAGCTCGGTTCCTGTGGACCGATATAATGTCACTTTCAGCTGCTATTGACAATGGTAAGTCCTGAAATTCTGTGTAAACGGTAAGCTGGTGAAATCCAGAAAATCGCTTTACTCAACAACCAGCTAAAATACAAGTAGCAGGTTTTATATGTGGCATAGTGGAGCGATTGGAAAACCAACATATTTGAATTTTTTATCTGAAATCAAGTTAAATATTTGTCCTAATTTTCCTGAAAATTTCTAGAATCTTCAAATATATTAAAATAAGAAGGCATTTGAATTTGCAGTATTGACCTAATGGATAGTTGATTCTTTTATATTGTTTTGCTGCGGTTGAGGTTTATAGGTAATGCATGACGTTTGCAGTCTTGCATGCCACAGATATTTTAGTGGAATAAATGTACTGGCGTATACGGTCAACAAACCCACCGTAACCGTAGTTGCAGCTTCGCTGTGTTGTTCGAGCACCCCTTTCATCATCACTATTATTTAAAGCATATAAGTTGACCGAAAAACTGTATAGCAATACTGCACGGCTGGGTGTTGGTAGGTGTGAGGAAAATCGGTTATTTTAGATGATTTTCAGTATCCATCGATAGTAGAAGGTGACGAGCGAAATCTGCCCTAAATCAATAGCCGCTTGCTTCACTAATAATTTTCTATCCATATGACAAACTTCAGTCTAAATCGAAAGTATATTTTTCGGAAACACTAGTTGTGACTGTTTTCATACAGTATATTATATTTCATGCTGTGAGACCATCAAAACTAGTTACTCAGTCATATCCAACGTATAAGCTAGCACATTGGTTAAAGTTGCCACATCCACTTCGTAGAGCGAGATGAAATTATCTAGACAAATTGCTGAATAGCAAATTATCAAGAGTATCATTGGTAGTAGAAACAGTTAGGTGTAGAAATCAGAGCACAAATATAAGATTTTTAAACCCAAGGTCTGGAATAAGATGCATGTATGCCATTGCGATCGATTCAGAACCATATTGTCCAAAGTCTTCAGCTACTGGTTACGATAATTGTGGGGACTAACCAGGTAGTTTGCAGCTATCCACGTAAATCTGTCTACTCTTAGTTGATTTCTCATACTGATGTTAGGTCTTGGTTTGACTGCTCCTAGCTTCCTTCAGCCTACTACTACGCCAAACATCGCCTGTCTAGGTAGGCGGTGATTAGGCATATATTACATGTAATACATATTCCAACCACCCTAGTTGGTAAAGATTCATTACCTCAGGTTTTGATCCAAACTAATCCTGATTGGAAATTCTGCATTTAAAGGAAAAGAAACGCATCTCGAACATGTATACTCTGTTGCCGAAGGAGATCAAAAGACTATTTATCAGCCTTCTTACTAAACAAAACCATATCATCTGCGTACTTCAAGTTAACTACTGAATTGCCTGTTTAAAGATTGATTCCAATGAAGTTAGAGGACGAGAGTTTTATCTCTATAAAATGACTATGAAGTTAAGTCAGAACTGAAAAATTGGACAGCTATGATGACAGTTTTCCATAAACTCTAACTCAACTGGTAATTTTTAAATATAAGGCTGTTGTACTCCTTTAGTATGCGCTTTAATGCCAAATCTCACGATTAATAGAGTCAAACGCTACCCTAAGGCCAATAAATACACAAGAGTTGAACGTCAAAAAATTGTCTATGTTACAGAACTCGATCGATACATCCACATCTGAAAAAAACGTCGTTTTCCCAGTTTTACTCTAAACAAACTCTAGTTAAGGATTGAATAATTATTAGCGCTAATATTTTAGACACTATATTGGTCAAACTGATTTCTCTGTCGCAAGAGAATTTCTGTTACATCCTGTGTAAACTGAGAAAAGCTGCTTTCGAGATCAGTCAGTCAGCTACAACGTAGGACCAGGCACATATGTACATTGGTTCAAATTGCCATAACTCATTAGCACAAGATGAAAACCAGATCCACAGATGTAGTTAATTCAGTGGTGGTAATATATAAAAGAAAATTGCATATAAGGACATATTACAGGAAGGAAGAATTAGTTCGTAGAAAGAAAGATATGAAGCGATTTTAATTTCATAGTTTAAGAGAAGACCACTGTATTCGAGATCAATCAAATGGGATTACGTTGTTTCTGGTGCATCATTTCGGTTTGTAGTAACTTTATGATCTATCCTTTTTATATTACCTGATATATTCATTTGTAATTCGTAGAAACATCGTGATCAAAACCCAGTATACGGACCAAAAGTTGTACCTCGACTTGCTCAGGCGTCATCCCGACCATTACATACAAATACAAGATCTGACTGTTATTATTGCAATCGCTTCGGAAAATTGGCACGCAAATGTGGTCATAATGATGCTTTCTTGTCCAAAAGATCATCAGCAAACAGATTTGGGGCTCAATGCATTCAAAATGAAAATATAGTCCAAAGAACAAGTATGGAAATATGGTTAACAGCTTATTCTAGTTAATTCTGCTTCTGTCTATTGTAAACTGTTTATTCTATAATTTTCTGCAAGATGAAATAAGGAACTACATTTTACTTCATTCTTTTCATTATATTTCAGTTATGAATTCGACAACTGGTGTAGTCAAGACCTAAGGTATAATTATTTTCGTTGCATGAGAGTTACTGTTGGTAGTAGTAGTAATGGTAAAGAACTAAAAGTAACAAGTGTTGGACAATTAAATCTAATGAAGGATAGAGGATGAATGCATTTACATCACTGCGATCAATTTCGTACCATCAAATGGTGAATATCTCGTGTATGCCAAACAATAAATTTATGATTTTTTATACAGTGAAGCCAAGATGATAATTGACCTCCTGCGTGTGTTGATTAAAAACTAAATCATATATGATTTCCCGTGTTTTTTGACTGCTTATTCACTTTTCAGACAATCGTTGATAAGCTGAGTTTGAGAAAATCATATGTGCCTACGATTCTTACAAAACTTCTGAGATGAATGTGAAGGGTTTAGCATTTGTAAACCTTCAATGTTACTTTAGACAATAAAAATGGGAATGGGATAAATACGTTATCACAAATTTGGAGTATTTCGGCCTGATATTGATATGCTTTAAAGTTTATGAAGTTTTTATGGTCTTCGTTCATCTATATGTTAGACAAACTGTTATGTCAGAACTAGAAAGTAAATAGTCTTAGTTCCCTTCATATATGTCTGGTAAAATGTACCTTGTAGTGTCGATTGCTATGTTAAGCCCACATAGGGTATTCTAGCTTCCGAACAAGCCAATTTATTCACCCTTCTTAAGTCACATTTTGACCTTGTTAGCTACTAGCTTATCAACTTTATTTTCATATGAGCGTATGTGTGTACACTTCTTATCACATGTCTGTAACTTGTTTTTGTGTGACTATAAAATCGGTTAACCCTTGATTAAATCGAGTTGGCTCACATGCTTTCTACACTGCACGTCATTTCGCTTCGCTCTCCTTACTTCGTTTCTTCGATCGTTTGTCTGGATGAATGTTTGTATGAAATATATGTATTCGAAATTCATTCTCGTATTTGACTTATTTAATTCCTTTATACACTAACACGAGTTAAGTCAAATAAATATATACGAGGATGGGCGATACGTCTATTTCGACAACGATTATTCATACGACCTACCTGGAGTCAGATATAGGGTCACCAAAACCTATTGGTTACCATGACTACACTCTTATCTGCTCTTTAACTACTTAGAAGTTTTTGTTGATTTATTATTTATTACATAAAAGCTCAATCCCAGGTACATTTCTTGCATTATGTATAATTTTTTACGCTTTATGAATAACATATGAAAACTCTATCCATAATCGTAGCTTTATTGACAATTACATGGCTGTTGATTAGTGTGACCCTATTTTGTTTACAATTCTTTATCAGAATTAAATAGGGCAGTTATTCCATCTGTGCCTCCTCCTTCATCATTTCCTGTACCTGGTTTACCTCCGACTCCTCCACCTACTTATCAGGAAAGCGTTACTTTACCACTTCCTCCAGAATACGAAGAAAGACTGCCAGAAGGTAAAATTTTCTTTATTTGTACGTAAAAATTTTGCAGAGAACTCCCACAAAGATTAATAATAAGCATATTTTTATGATATCCCAATGAATAGAAAACTATTTCTGATATTTCATGACTTAATGTAAGTCACCTCTTCATGGTAAACGAATAAGCAAAATGAAATTAACGCAAGTTCAAATACTGCACGTCCATTTTTTAAATTTTTTTTCATCCCCGTCTTCCAATAATTTTCATTCTGTTTCGTCCAATCAAATAGCTAGTTTTAAGTTCGTTATAATTGGTTGTTTATTTCCTAAAATTGTTATAAATTGTCAGGACTTGACGACAGAGCACATTTTCTTCCAATTATGGGAAATAGTGGCGTGCAGAGTGCGGGCTCTGTCGTTTCTCACGTTGTCACAGAAACCGATAACCTATTCTTGAGTACATTGTATCTTGTAGCGTTCCAATCACTTGAAGCGCTGAAGAGCGCCATTAGAACTTATGAAAGAGCTACGTACTGCCATTATGCGGTGAGAGATTCTCATTTCCATAGAGATCGGAAGCCGTATATTAAATTCGTATGTTGAAGAAGTGGCCGTAGAACACCTGGCGGTCCCTCACAGCCGAGTAGACGAAGGAGGTAATTTGATTAGTGTTATTTTAATTTTTCATAAAGGACTTCCGTGAACACTTAATGTCCTTCCTTCATCTTTTGTAAGTTACCAACTATCAAAATAACGTCGATATGGATGCAACGTTAAGCACTGACGAGGAGGAAATTGTTTCGACTAGCTCAAAGGAGTTCACTGGATGAGACAACGACAATGACGAAAACGCGTATGACAACAGACTGTGATATTTGCAATCTTGCACAACCGCCACATGAAACTGCTGATGGAAGTGCCTGGGTTTTTTGTCCATGCGAAGCAATGTTTCATTTATTTTGTGCTTACGACCCATCACCACACGTTCATGGAATCCACTGTCCCATGTGTGACGCTATAACGGAATCATAGCAACTCCTTTGTTCATGAAATTCGGAACTATTAAGAGAACGAGTAAAAAGCCCTTATCAGAACCACCCACAATATGATCTAAATTTTTTGTTCCACTCTCTTATTTCCATGGCAAAGGTCAAGTGATGAAGTTATGAAAATTCATTTTAGATTATTAATCATCATGTGATTATCGTCCACGTATTTGTAAACGCCTTTTAAGCTTTATCAACTATACGGTTTAAGTAAACGATTTCGTATAGGAAATGTCATCTAATGAACACTCATCTGTCTAACAACAGTACATGCAAAACGTATTCACAATGTTTCAATATTTTGTCGTATAGTTACGGCAGACGAATGTAGTACTACCAGTTCACTTGTACAACGACATCATTTCTGTGGGAAAGGTCAACTGAACCAACATTGATGAATTTTAATTAAGCCTTAGTGATTAAGCAATATAATCAATTGAGATTTATAAAAATTTCGTGGATTAGTTGAAGTTAGACATTAACAGGTTTTTCATGGTGCTCTAGCTTCAATTCACTCATGATCTCAACTATTCCAATGAAAAAATGTGATTGCCGTTCACGTAATGGTGATACGTTTATACGTTTTATAAAATGTCTATAACAATTAATGTGGCACTTATCTGTCTAACATTGTTACAAGCAAAATGTAATAAGAATTGAAGCTAGAGCACCATGAAAAACCTGTTAATGTCTAACTTCAACTAATCCACGAAATTTTTATAAATCTCAATTGATTATATTGCTTAATCACTAAGGCTTAATTAAAATTCATCAATGTTGGTTCAGTTGACCTTTCCCACAGAAATGATGTCGTTGTACAAGTGAACTGGTAGTACTACATACGTCTACCGTAACTATATGACAAAATTAGAGATACATATCAAGAAAGTCAATAACACTTACCTAGAACTGGAAAGGATTTTCCAGGACAGTGATTGTTCGAGAGTCGTAGTTCATGGTCTGTGCTTCCACGAGGGATAACAGGTGTAAGTAATTAAGTAAATACTAATAATCAACTTGTAATGCAATTACGAAATAGATTAAAAGTGTATCCGAAATAAACCCTATCGGGTTTTGGTCATTTTAGTTGTTCCTGCATTTCCTATATAATTTTATTATTAAGTTATATTATTTTATAAATTGCATCTTGCTGGTGAGTGGCCTATGCTCCTCCACGAGGAGTAGCAGGCGTAAGTATGTAAGTAATAAATTGTATCTCTTGATGACAGTGTTATATTAGTACTGCATTCTATATTTGGGATATTTCAACGTTGAATTATATCACTATACGTATATATATTCTTGTGTTGTTCAACTCGGTAACATGTTAGTAGTTTGTTGTTTTTGTAATCTATATTATCGTTTTTATGTTTCTAGAAACACTGTATATTGGGATTGTAATTTGGTATTTGAACTTGGAGTCGCATATTTCTCCCTCTCCCTTCCTCGTTCTATCTATTAGCTTGTTTATTGACAGTAATTTATCACTTGTTATTTATATAACATGTGGTGACGTTTCTAATATTATTTGGTGTTGTAAATGTCTTTCTTGAATTGTAGTCAAATTATTGAATTATATTTAGAGAAAATTCAAAAGTTTAACCAGATTCATTGTTTGTTTGTTTTTCTCCGTGCAAATATTCATGTTTTTTTAGTTATTGTTACACAACCACCTGCAACTGTATTCAAATGGAATCCGGTGGCTATGACATGTCCTTATTGTCATCATATTATTGTTACTAAAGTGAGGTCCGAGTCAGGACTATTAGCTTGGTTACTTTGTGGAGTTATGTTTTTAACTGGGTGAGTTCTAGTTACAAAATGAATTTTGTTTTAGTTAGAAATAATTTTTCACTCAAATTTACAAATGTTTTTCCTTTTTTTAATAACATCTTATACATTAGATAACAATTCAGTATATAATTTTCGCTATTTTGTAACGTTGTCTTTCTATAGTCATAGAAATTTAGCTTTTATCAACAACACGTACATTGAATTACAGATATTTAACTATGAAATGTATTTATATCATTGTCATTATCAACAGTTATGTTTCAAATATACCTAAAATCCAGTAATCAAATAGTCTACTTTTTAATGTGTTTGATATAACGTATATTATCTTAGCCAGTCAATAAACGTAGTTTATACTTTAAACTTACTTACGCCTGTCACTCCCAATGGAACATAGACCATAGACCAACATTTTCCAACCCACTCTGTCCTGAGCCTTCCTTTCTAGTTCTACACAATTTTTGTTCATTCTTTTCATGTCTTTCTCCATTTCTCGGAGTAATGTGTTCTTTGATCTTCCTCTTCTCCTTTGACCTTGAGGATTCCAAGTGAGGGCCTGCCGTGTGGCGCAGTTGGGCGCTTTCCTCAATGTGTTTCCTATCCACTTCCAACGCTTCTTCCTGATTTTTCCTCCGCTGGAATCTGGTTTGTTCTCTTCCGCAGCAGGTTGTTGCTGATAGTGTCTGATCAACGGATCCGAAGTATTTTGCGTAGTAAACTTTTAGTAAACACTTGTATCTTCTGGACGATGGCTTCCGTAGTTCTCTAAGTTTCCACCCCATACAGTAGAACTGTCTTGACATTTGTATTGAAAATCTTGAAGTTAATATATATCTTGATTCTAAATATTAATATTCTAACTGTACTGATGTTTCAATTATCAGTGAAATTTCTCCATAAAAATCTATTACTTCTAGATTTTTTGTAAAAAATATCTCTTATCAATTATTTATGATAAAAGTTAATTCACTAACTAACTTATTCATGGGATACCTATTATGAAAAGGACTAGTGATATAACTGCCCTACCCGGTTACCCGAAATCAAATTAAGCTTATTCAATTACTACAATTCTTGTTTATCATTTTATAATGCCTAATCAACTGTATATTACAAGTTAATAAAATGTATTTACAATTGATTAATCACTGGGTTGTGACCAATGTCATGTGTGTCAGGTCCTTCTCAGTGCAGATCGAATTCCATCAATGAAGTTTCAATGTAACCACTAGTCTAGGTGACTCAACATCGCCTGCACTATGTTGAGGTGGTGGTTCGAGGTAGTAGACAGAAAACCCTGGACATAGGTTTCGTGCTATTTGGCAATCATCAACAAGATGTATCTGAACTGATGCTCCTCTATCGACTACCTCCAACCATCATTTCACCCGACAAAATATATAGACTGAATCAAATGTTTGACTTCTCTAAATGCACAGATATTTTCTATTATGAAATAATTCAGTAAATAATTCTTATTATTGTTGTTATATATTACAGTAAAAATTGTTATTATATCTGGTTAGAAGTGTCGAATTCAGTTTCTGTTATAGCTAATTAACATTTGATTATGATTATTTTACAATCTTTGTTTAGTCACAGTAATATATATATATATATATATATATATATATATATATATATATATATATATATATATATATCACATTTTGAAGTCATAGTTTTCTCTTTTCTTTGCAATTCTCTACCAGATTATGGATCTTTTGTCTCATTCCTTTCTATTTGAAATCAACACAAGATGTTGTCCATATTTGTCCACTTTGTAAATCACAATTAGGTAGTTATAAACCATTGTGAATAGGTAAACACAATGAAAAAACTTACTCATCTACATTCTCAACAAATACATCATGAATTTTTTGTCTATACTGGTGATAATTTATTGTTCATTCTTCATTTTTGTTAAAACAATAACTGTTTTGTATTTTGTTATTAACAATATTAATATTGTTTAACGACCAATTAACGACAAACTGATTGGTTGTCATCATCATCAATTATCATTCCAGATTGTCGTGAATATTTTATTTTGATTGCATAAATTTACAAATATGTACACTTACATTCGCCTTCTACATTTTCTTTGACTTGCTTTATATATATATATAGTTTCAGACAAATGAATAGTAAGTATCAGTACCTCCTAGAAAGAAATAGAGATCAAATGTATGCCTAATTCACTAAGTTGCTTATATTCCATTATCACCAGTTGGACAGTGTTAGATCACGAGCTTGCTATTTATCCAAATGCAGGTTAACTGATAATATTCGAGAATACTATCTAGTTGTTAATGAGTCAAGTAGTTTGTTTTTAGAATACTGATAGATTTCTTAAATATCTAGTAAGAAAATTGAATGGTTACCTGTTAACAATAGGTATATAAGAGTACTGAGGCATATATGACATGTGATTACTTAAAAAATAAATGAGCAATAACTTCCAGGAAAAGGGCTGGAACATTTAGGCTTCAACTTTGAATCTCTTCCTTAATTCTTTATTACTTTCGTGTATAATCCTGAATTTGTATTTCTACTAACTTGCCGCTTCTTGTATGTTGTAAATTTCCGTATTAATAACGAAACATGTTAATAAATAGAGGTATAATGTTAGGTTAATGGAAAAGAAATTTAAAGCAATTAGTCCATTTGACAAATTTCGATAGTGTAATAAGATGAAGATTATCAGAACTATGTGATATATTAGCGCAATATATCTCGAACAATCTGATCACACATATACTTGTTAAGAACATTTATATATAAAAATAAAAGCCTTAGCCATACGAAAATTTAAACCCCATATGTGCATTCAAAAACTGTTTGTTCTCACCTTAAACCTACCCCGGTAATATTAGCTTATTATCCAGAGTAATGAGGTTTCAGGTCTGTGTTACTCGTAAGTTGTTGGGTGTAAACTCCGTTTCCTGACTGAATTTGAAGTATTTTGTTGAACTATATTGTTAAATAAGTTTGGTGATATATCAAAGAGATGCTCAGACGTCTCAGAATTTAAATGCTGAGTATTGCTATATTTCAAAGACTAATACAAACATGAATGGAGGTTTATCAATATAGCAACAACCTTTAATTGTAATGATTTTTGTTAGGAATAATCGAAGATAGTTTTTAAAAAAACAATCAAGGTTTGATCAGATTAAAGCAATACCATACAACATTTTGTACTTACCTCACGACAAATCAAATGGTCTGATTTATATTTTTTGTGGACCATTTGTAAACGATAGGATAAAACACGTATATGGCTCGTTACGTGCGGCGTTAGAAACAGTTTTATTATAGTATCGATATTGCGTGTTGATAAATGCAAGATTAAGGGACTGAAATGACAACAAAAATGAGAGTAAGTGGTAGAGAATATTTGTGGATAATTTTGGTGGCGTTTTATTCTCTGAGTTGGATTCTTTGGTCGTGAAGCTTTCGCCAGCACAAACTCCAGATTGAAGTGAATTGTTCAAATGACTCAGTTTGTACTTCAGACCTCGATCTTGATTGGCTAATGTTGACCTTTAACCTGTTTGCTTCTCTATTTTGATTGTATCTTCTATTGGTTTGATTCTTGGTCCTATATTTGTCCACGATTTTTGTGATTGGTTAATAAATTGGATCAATTTCAATGTGTTTATTGATCGCTGATTGACCTGAGTGCCAAGCTTCTAAAAATTCTCTGGCGTTTTTAGAATCCCCTCTATCCAAGATCTCAACATTTCTCTAGTCGAATGTGTGTCCGCAATTTTTCACATGCATTGATATAAGTGAGGATAGGTCAAGGTTTTTGTGCGAGTGATAAGAACGAAGTGCATGAGATATGTATACTGAGGAGTCCCATACTAGGACGAAACGGCCGTCCAGTGCTTCCAGGTTTTCCATGGTTGTCTAGCTTCAATTGACTCATGATTTCAACCTGTGAGATTTTATTATTAGTCATTCTATTACGCAAAGGGTGACGAAGTCAATTTAGGTGACTCATTCAATTTTGATATGTTAACATTTAGTGAAGACCTCACCTGTTCAGTCCTGTGTCATAGACATTACAAATAGAAAAAAATACAACTAAGGTATTCTACACAAGCTTTCTCTTAAGCCACATTTGGATAAATAGATGCGGACATTTATTTTGTTATGATGTGAAGGATACATTGATACTGAAAACCTTGGTCTAGTTGTGAAATTAATGGGAAATTCATTTGAGATATGTGATGTCGATCGTTTATTCACATTGATGGAGTAATCACGTGACGTAGGTGCATATTAGAACAAAGTCTGAAATTTAAAACAGTCCTTTTGATAAGTTTCGATAATTCAATGAGAAGACGAAAGTTATCAGAATTATGTGATATATTTACGTAATACATTAGGAACCATCTGAACACATACCTAAATGGCTACAAAAACAAATGAATTCTAACGGTCAAATCAGATCACCAGATAGACAAATATCTTTCTCTATTGCGAAACATTTTGTTGAAACCGGTCATAAGGTTGATATCAAGTCAGCCTTTGTAGTTTTTGTACTCAAGTTTCAAGGGCGTGTTCTAAGGCTTATTGAAGCTTTGGCTATACGAAAACTAAAACCACCTTTATATGTTTAGAAACGATTTATTTTTTACCCTTAACCTACCTTGGTAGTACTGATTTATTATCCAATGTGGTTTTCACACTGATTTTGTCTACTTTATCATTATCTTTGTGTCCGCTTACCTTTTAATTTGTCTAGTTGACCTTTTATTTTTCACATAAAATGTCTATATGTGTGATCAGATTATCCAAAATGTATAGTGAAAATATATCACATAATTGTGATAACATTCGTCTTCTCAGTACATTATCGAAAGTCTAAAATGGAGATTTGTAACTCAAGGGGGGTGTTCGTTGGTTGAGTCGCGTTCTTTGAGCAGGACGGCTTAATTTCGAAGCTCTAGTTGTCATCAGCTCGAACTTCATGGAGAATTCTCATCAGCTCATATAAATCAATACCGTTAATGTATAAGATTTCATCCGGTCTCTTATCGTTGCTGTTTACTTGTTTCTATGATTTTCATTCCCGAATACTTTCGCGTATCTTCATTACACTATAATTTATAAATATACTCAAGATTTGCTTTGTTAAGAGATATTTTAATAAACTCTACGTATAACTTGAGTATATGGGCTGGGTGATGCATAAAAATAATCAACTGTCAAGTAATACAAGTTCTAACCACGTTTCTCTCATCTTCGTAACGTTTTAGTGTAGTCTATTTTCATAATCATTGCAAGTGTATCTTAACAAAAACGACTAATATTGCTTCAGGATTGGTTTGCACCATCTTCTAGATTGATCATATGGAGTAAATATACGAGTTCATTAACCACTTCGTTTATGTTGGAAGTCTCATTAGTCTTGGTGAGTGAGGGTCTTACGAAATCTCAGTACTGAATGAAAAATTACACTAGCTTAAACTGATCCATTGCATGATACTTAAAGAGAAAAGTTTAATTTAAGTCAAATCGATTTAAAAGTCCAGCATTGAACAATTATCCAAAGAGTTCTTTTTCTCTTGTTAGCTTTTTTCTATCTTCTGTTTAGTTAAACTGGGTGAATTTTAATAAATATAAAGTATATTCTAAAGACAAGATAATATGAGTGATCAGCCACTAGAATTCGTCTGTTTTTATTTCATAATTCAAGAGATTTCCAAGACCATGTTTATAGCACTTAAGATTGTTCAATTTAATTAAATTGTTTCAATGAATTGAACAGCTTATAACTAGGTATTAGAAAAAGTTGATGCCATTAATAATAAGCATTAATTAATCAAGAGATGATCAGTTTGATGGAAATACTGATTAATTAATCAATCAAAGAGTTCACTATATAGTGTTCACTGTACTATCCTTAGTCGACTGAGGTGGATAAAATATATGTGGTATAGGTTAAAACACTGCCTATTATACTTGCCAGTATTGAAAAAAACGTTGGCTCAATAGTTGAGGGGGGGGAGAAGTGGCTTGAATGATACAACTATCTCTTAAGGTATTCGCGGAAAATTTCCCACCATATTAAAACAGATATGGGAACGAAAAATGTTCATTACAATAAATTCACTTCAAGTCCTGTAAATCATAATATAGAAAAATGACCAGGTTTAGGGCAATTATATCGTTTAGAATTATAACATGTGATTTCAGGGTTGTTTGTCAAATGACCAATATGAGTAAGTTGATATGTTAAATGAAATTGTATGATTAATAACCTGGATAACAGAAGGTAAGACAGATGATTATGTAATTACAAATCAAAATAAATATTTTGTCAAAAATCACGTAATATGTAGAACAATATTAAGTAAGAATTAGTAAATTGGGTTGGGTGTTCAGTAAATATCTTGGAATGTGTGGTTAAGTGTTATAATAATAAATATGAACAAGGTAATTTTAAGCTATAAAGGTGCATAGGAAGGTTGTATGAACGTTAATCAAGTTGTCTTGTTTCTTTTACAGCTGCATCTGGAGAGCTTACAGACATGAGTATATATTGTAAAAATTCATTGCGTAACGCTCTAAAAGAAGATGAATATCCTTAGGCAATAATAGGATAACGTTTAACCAAGAAAATAGGGCAAAAAGAAATCGTTTCAGTGATTTAAAAGTCACCTTTTATACGACTTCAATTTTTAGGCATTGCACTCAGCAAAATATTGATACAAAGCTCCACAGAGCAATTCAAATAACCTTTAATGAAGGAAAACCACAATTAATGTTTTCTAGATGTCCGATGGTCAATCCGAGATTGAAAGATAAATTAATAAGATTAGCCATCTCTTTCTTCTGTACATATCAGTTCAACTGCTCTTGTGGAGCAAGTTATATTGGCAGATGCTCTAGGGATTTGCATTTTCGTGCTCGCAGGCATGTCCCAGTCTGATTAAGAAAAGGTATTGTTAAAACTGTTAACAGCTCGATTTTAGCTTATTTATTTCAAATTGATGTGTGAACTCAACATCATCATCAATCAGACCTGCAAACATAGCATTCCAGACTCCTTAAATTTCTTGAACTCA